AATTTGATCCTCGCCCGTTACGATCACCGACGGGGTGTCATAGAGGCTTACCGGGTCATCGCAGAACGTCGCTCGCACCAGTTCCAACTCTGGGACTGGAATCCCGATGTTATAATCCAAACGTTCAATCCTAAAGTTAGTCTTTGGTTAGATGATCCAGTCTTGCTCCTGAAAAACCATCACGAGGGTCGGCCGTTATATTTGCGCGGCGAAACCCGCATGCCCATGCCTCTCGAGACGCAGCATGTCTTCAACTCATTTTCGCTCTGCTCCGCCCGAATAACTTCTGATCTTGTGGCGAACCAACAATGGCCTCCTAAAACCATTCCAACTAAACACCGCGTCTATCGTGGTGAAGTTGATCCGGAGTGGGAACACCACCCTCCACAGCTGGACAAAATTTCCGAGCATGCGTTTCGAATTAGAAGATGGGCACACTTCCGATTGGGTATGCCGATCTTCACCGCTGGGCGGAGCGAGACGCTGTCGACTTATGCTACACTTGACCCCGAGCTGTATACGCCTACAGACAAGAAACCATACCAAGGCATCTGGGTTGGAGACTACTCGGCACATGGATGCGAATTTCTGCTTTTCCTACAACGTGATCACGGAGAAGAGCGATGCAGCCTTGAGGCCATCAAGCTCACTGGAGACCCTAACGTCCCTCGTGGCGAAATATCTTTCTCAGCAGATGACATTGGCCCCGGAGGATTTGTCCGCCTTGCGGAGGAAGCTCTCTTCCAGGGAGCACGTATAGTACGGAGCAAAGGTCATGTAGCGGGCCTCGGTTTCAGAGATGGTAGGTTTGATCTAAAAATGCCCAGCTTTTCGCTATGCATGCTAATATTCCTTTTAGATACGTTCATCTCATCCCAACTTATCCTGATTTCGTCAGAGTGCGTAGCACACTATTGGGAAACCATGGGCCATATCTCCTATTACCGTCGTCTGGACATCGATGCATTACTCCGGACATAGGTTCGATGCTTACATAGTACGAAAGTTACGACTGAACGAATCGCGTCACTCATTCCAACCCTACGGTGCTTCCAGAACATACCCTGGCTCTTTTTTTTTTTTTTTTTTTTTTTTTTTTTTTTTTTTTTTTTTTTTTTGGGCGATTAGGCTTTTACATGCGTGGACGCTCTTGACGTTAATCATGTTAGCGAGCACATACGTGCTATGATAGACCTGCACAGGCTTGCATGGGACAATCAATCTTTCATTCTGGGCGCATATGTTATTGCGAGACCACACTCGCGGTCCAAAGGCGGGTCCTGCGGAGGTTACCACATTGAAATGAACTGGACTTTTGGGAATGGATACTCTTGTATAACTCCAAGGCTAGTCAGTGACCTGCACACGGTGACTGTACTGGTGGATAAGAAAATACCGGAAGCAACCTGAATGGGTAGTCCGGTCACAACATAGCTGTTGTTAGCTAAACAGCGGAGAACAGAGATACAGATGAGTTATCCCTCAACAGGGAACCTATGTACAAACAGGCATATCGAGAAGAGATGCAAACGTTCCAAAGGGAGCTGCCATTGGAGCATGGATCAAGGTATACAGTCAACGCAAAATACCCAACGCCATGACTTGCGCTACTCGAACACGAGCCGAAATGCCATCATCAATCATGAGCAACGACCCATCGCAGCCATACCCTCAACCGCGACGGGGTTCATACCCTTTAATCCCTTTCTTGCCTTATATCGCAATCTCTCCTCCAGCCAGAAACCCCCAGCCTCACATAGTAGTGTACTCGCCCAACCCAGGCAAATCACACATAGATGCCCACCCCACCAGGGATCCAACCAATCCATTCGTAAGCCGACCGGCGACTCCGACTCAGGAAAAGCGATGCGATCGGTAGTTTAGATGTATCAGTAGCAGTGATAAATCTACCGCTTGCGCTCGAAGTAGCTCGTCGACCCCAACACAGCCACAGACTGATCCATCACCCACTCGCCAACACCCAGGTAGTTATCGATCCACTTCTTGAAGTCCTTGTTATCGGTGATTTTGTCGGAGTTGAGACTGGGGCTGTGAAAGACCCCACGCGATGCCCCCCAGGGTTCGGGGGATGTGCGCGGGATGAACTGATTAGCTTACTGGCCCGTCAAATAGGATGGATAAGATAGCGCAGTGATCGGAAAAGAAAAAGAGGAATGAGGTGTAGTATTTACGTTAATCCAGTCGAGCGCTTCACGCCAGCCAGGAAGGCAGAGACTTGATTGCGAAATAGGTCAGCAACTAACTCAAACCCAACTTAACAACAACAAGAGAAGATAGGATAAGGGTGTACGTACTAAGAACCGCATCGAATGCGTAGTGGCTGAGACGTCCGAGCTGAATGCACCCATAAATATTAGTATATCCCATCCTATTTCTTTAATCCCTATCCATCCATATCCGGTCCGGTCGAGTTTGGGTATGTGACATACCATGGTGACAGGAAGATTTGGGGATGATGATCTGACAGGTTGTGTGCTTCGCAGCAAGGATTGTATCAATAGAGATATTAAAGGTTATGAGCGTGGGGATTGTTCTTTGTGAGTGGGCAATAGAGAGAAAAAAGAAAGATAGGTAGGTAGGTATCAGGTCACCCCACGGAGGAAGTCATCCAGTTCACGTGGCTTTCACATGACGTGGGCCAGTGATTGGTGCGAGGCGGTGAGCGAGGCTGGGTTGGGTGGTCATGGGTCAATTGGGTGGCTGGGTTTGGGGGAGTGGCTGGTGTGGTTAGTGAGGTGGACAGCTAGTTAGCTGGTTAGTAAGTTGTCTAGCCGAGCCGAGCGACCACACTGTTACTTGCTGCTCATAGTAGAGGGTAAAGTATGGAGGGGCAGTGCCTGCCTATCTACTACTTAAGTATGGAGTATTCTACCACTTCATAAATAGTACTACGTACTCCGGAAATGAACCTAGAGATAGGATGGGTTCATAAATACTACCCACAAGCCCATTCAGTATCCTATCCCAACAACTAAACCTACTCAACCCAAAAAGCAAATCTGAACAAACAAACATCAATACTAAGTAGATCAGCATGCATGCATGCATTCATTCATATATTCATTCATTCATTCATTCATTCATTCATATATTCATTCATTCATTCATTCATTCATTCATTCATTCATTCATTCTCCGAAGTTCGAAACCAATCTAAACAAAAGCAAACAAAACTACTCCGTAGAGAGTACGCAATCACATCACCGCCAAGTCGGCAGTACTTTGCAAATAGTAGCTGAGCGGGTGGATGCAGGATGAAACACTACCGAGAAGGGGAATGAATGAAGATAACCGGGGCTTGGCTATGCAGACTAATATCATATCAAGTATGTATCTGTGCTAAGTATAGTTATCCTTGTAAGAGGAAGTGTGCCGAGCCGACGGCGGGCTTTGTAGTTACGGAGTGGAATGGCCTAGCATGCATATTGCAGATTATCCATAGCATTCATTCACCGGGCGCTGAGTCGGGACGGGGTGATTGTGGTGATAGAATCAGGTGCTAAGTAGGTGTAGGTCAGGATTCATATTCATGTACTCTGTACGTAGAAGGTACTTGTGCGGTGTTAGTGAGGATATGAGTGATGTTGGTAGTGAGTACCTTTTTCTACTACTTGCTGTCTGTCTTTAGGGTATCCAATCACAGAAAATATGAATATCAATGCAACAACCATGAATATTTCATATGACGACTTACATAATAATATTGAGCATAATAGGCCAAGATAACTACCAAGCTTCACTTCGGATATATGTGGTTAAGGTGCTGCTACTACTACTACTATCTCCCATCCTAACCTAACCATCTATCTCCAAGACAAGTAAAGGTATCGACACACCTTCGGAGTTAAGAACCTCCAACAGGAAGAGAAAACCTCCGAGTAAATTATTTACTACCTTGAGTAAAATTGCTTACCCACAAAAGAGCAGGTAGAAAAAAAAAAAAAAAAAAAAAAAGAGACAGCTTCTCCATAACTGGGAACTGGGTCCATCCGAGCAGAGCAAAATTCAGCCTTATGGATTCCGATGGAGTCAGGGAAATAGTTCTTGCGAAGGGGAAAGGGGAAAATGGGCTTTTTTTTTTTTTCTCATTTTGCGAGGAGGGAAGAGAAAATTCAGCACCGACAAAGACATCAAATCCACCTCGCTAGGAGAGGATGGATCCGCGACCATGTGGGGTCAACTGGACAGTGAGGAAGGGGGATCATGTGGTCCTGCCAGATTTCTACTTTTGACAAAGTTAGTTGTAGATAGATAGGTAGATAGTAGGGAAATGTGGTGTGGGTGTATCTGCCAGATTGTGGCTTGGGCTTGAATTGCTTTTGGAATCTTCCCAACCAATTAATATTGCATGCGGCGTATGAATGCCTGAGATGCGCGGAAGCAGGTGCCTGAGGATGAAGTGGACAAAAGCTGCTGCTGATCGCTGGGCGGAAACCCTTGGCTGACCAGTGAAAAGCGCGGACAGAGGCAGCAGGGTGTATCTACCGATCAAAGAATAGAAGCAAAAGCAGTGAAAGGTGGATCACGAAGCACATTATTGAGTTTTGATACCCAGCGATAGTGCCGGGGAGGGAAAAAGTCATTAATAATGGGAATTAGGTAGGCGATGAGAAGTGTGATTGTAACTACTCCGTAGCAGGAGGCACAACTAAACTAAGTACGGAGTACTGATTGCTCTGCTCTCTCAACCCGCGGGGAACCGACCGACAGAAAAAAGTGTCCCAAAGCAGGAATCCCACCAAAAAGGGCCGATCCAGCCAATCACCGCCGCCAACATTTTTCCTTCCCGGGCACCCCTCCTCTAGTCCACCATCTCTCTCTTCTCTCGCTCACCGGCCCCGTCTTTTCCTTCCCTATTATCTCTCCCTCTTCTCCTCTTTCCTCTCTTCTTTCTCTCTCCATTCTCTCTTCCATCTTCCATCAATCCCTTTCTCTTCTGTCTTTCCTGTTAGTTCAGTAGAGATAAATCATCCGTCAAGATGGCCGCCAGCTCTTCCCTCGACCACCTGAGCAACCGCATGAAGTTGGAGTGGCACTCCAAGCTCAACACTGAGATGGTGCCCTCCAAGAACTTCCGCCGCACCTCCATCATCGGCACCATCGGTATGTTCCTGCCAGTTGCGTCGTCCCGATTGTCATCTCTTCATGAAGACCTCGCACCCCGCACTTGACCTCATCCAAGCTAACCTTCGAATTTTTTTTTTTTTCTTTAGGCCCCAAGACCAACTCCGTGGAGAAAATCAACTCTCTCCGCACTGGTACGACCGATGAAACCTATTCACTCTGGAAGGTATCAATCAGCTGACTAGCTTGCAGCCGGTCTTAACGTTGTTCGCATGAACTTCTCCCACGGTTCCTATGAGGTAAGAACGGTCCCCATCCGTGCATTGGCACATGACAGTATGCTGACCCGCCCCAGTACCACCAATCTGTTATCGACAACGCCCGTGAGGCCGCCAGGACCCAGGTCGGACGTCCTCTCGCCATTGCTCTTGATACCGTAAGTTCGGGTCCCCTTGGCCGGTCGCGATCCCCAAATTGACTCCTCCGTAGAAAGGTCCCGAGATCCGTACCGGAAACACCCCCGATGATAAGGATATCCCTATCAAGCAGGGCCACGAGCTCAACATCACCACCGATGATCAATATGCCACCGCCTCCGACGACAAGAACATGTAAGGCTCCTCCCCGTGTTCTTCCGACCCTGCAAATGGATCGGGAGACCAGCCCAGACTTGTCTGTGCACGGACTCCGCTAACCAGTCGTCTTGTAGGTACCTCGACTACAAGAACATCACCAAGGTGATCTCTCCTGGCAAGCTCATCTATGTTGATGACGGTATCCTTTCCTTCGAGGTCCTCGAAGTCGTAGACGACAAGACCATCCGCGTCCGCTGCTTGAACAACGGCAACATCTCCTCCCGCAAGGGTGTTAACTTGCCCGGCACTGACGTTGACCTCCCCGCCCTTTCCGAGAAGGATATTGCCGATCTCAAGTTCGGTGTTAGGAACAAGGTCGACATGGTCTTCGCTTCTTTCATCCGCCGCGGTAGCGACATCCGCCACATCCGTGAGGTTCTGGGTGAGGAGGGCAAGGAGATCCAGATCATTGCCAAGATTGAGAACCAGCAGGGTGTCAACAACTTCGACGAGATCCTCGAGGAGACTGACGGTGTCATGGTTGCCCGTGGTGACCTTGGTATCGAGATCCCCGCCCCCAAGGTCTTCATCGCCCAGAAGATGATGATCGCCAAGTGTAACATCAAGGGTAAGCCCGTCATCTGTGCCACTCAGATGCTCGAGTCCATGACATACAACCCTCGTCCCACTCGTGCCGAGGTGTCCGATGTTGCCAACGCCGTCCTTGACGGTGCCGACTGTGTCATGCTGTCGGGTGAGACCGCCAAGGGTAACTACCCCAACGAGGCCGTCAAGATGATGTCCGAGACCTGCCTGCTCGCCGAGGTCGCCATCCCTCACTTCAACGTGTTCGATGAGCTCCGCAACCTTGCTCCTCGCCCCACCGACACTGTCGAGTCCATCGCCATGGCCGCCGTTAGCGCCAGTCTGGAACTCAACGCTGGTGCCATTGTCGTCTTGACTACCAGGTATGTAGCGACGCTTCCATTTAGATATATCCAGTCGGGTAGGATGAGTGCTGACAGATCTGTAGCGGTAAAACTGCTCGCTACCTTTCCAAGTACCGCCCCGTGTGCCCCATTGTCATGGTTACCCGTAACCCCGCTGCCTCCCGGGTAAGTCGAGAAGCTAGTGTTGTTTCGAGAGTCGTGTGCTAACGTGTTGAATCCAGTACTCTCACCTGTACCGTGGTGTCTGGCCCTTCCTCTTCCCCGAGAAGAAGCCCGACTTCAACGTCAAGGTCTGGCAGGAGGATGTTGACCGCCGTCTCAAGTGGGGTATCAACCACGCTCTCAAGCTCGGCATCATCAACAAGGGTGACAACATCGTCTGTGTCCAGGGATGGCGCGGCGGTATGGGCCACACCAACACCGTCCGTGTGGTCCCTGCTGAGGAGAACCTTGGCCTGGCTGAGTAAATGCAAAAGCAGTCTGGCATGCCACCGGTTGGTGGATGACACGGTAACGACAGCGATTGGATAGAAAGCGTCAAGGGTGTGTCTCTGGATATCGTAGACCGGTCTCGCCGCCATGCGACGACCCAAGTAGTCTGCCCGCGGTAGACTGCTTGTGTCTTCACTGCGAGACTCGTTAGTCGGGGCAGGACGAGGAGCACCAGGAGTGCGCACTTGCGTCTACCACATTCACTTTGAGCCCGAAATGCGCTGGGGGAAGACACACACCTTGGGAACGTAATGTGTATGTATTTTGATTTGACGTTAGTTAGCCAGCCATGTTTGGTGGACTTTGCTGCGATCAAAAGCTAGAATTTAATAAGTTGTTCTCATGTCTTGAACAAAGTAAGCAACCTGAGTGTCAGTCAGTATGATTTGTTAGTGGAAAAGCAACCCGGATCACTTTAGGTTCCATCATTCGTCGAGCAAAAGAGTTAATATTCGTCGATACCGAATCGCATCGATGTAAGCCATGAACGGCATGTCCGAAGACATGAATCGGACGTAGTTTGTAAACAATCAACAGTCAAAGAAGACAGTTGCAGAAGGAAGAGAATGAGCTGAGTAGTAAATCAAAAGAGAAAATAAGAAGGAGAGAGAGAGAGCGAGCGAGGGAGGCACGAAGAAACAGCCCCTCGAATCGAGTCCTCTCTCGTGCGGGGGAACGGAACAAGAAGTCCCCCAACCGAGGCAAGCAAGCAATGCATTTGTCAATCTTTCACATTCGAAATTCAGCCCATAGCTCGTAAGTGGTAAAGCTAGCAGCAGTCACTGGCAGTAAATCAGTTAGTCATGGTAAATAGTGAGGTCGTCGTAGCGCAGCGCAGCGCGGAGCATAAGGCTACTAGGTTAAGTTATCCCGATAGCCCTTTTACACCGTGGTCTGGGAGCAATAGTGAGAGAGAGCAATCACAATCAACAAATTGACGAACACACAAAAAGCAAGAAGGGGGAATAAGAGAAGAGAAGAAAAAGAGGAGCCACACGAAGAAAAAGAAAAAGAAAGAAAATCCGCGCACGCAACGGTGTGGGAAATGCGAATTGCCCAAAACTGAATTGAAGGAGAACTAAAACCGCGGAGCAGCAAATCAGGTTCCCGAGTGGTAACCCGAGCGTCCCGAATTCAGCCGATGGTGTGTTCGGGATGTGTGACACTCGCGGGGTTCTTCCGGAAAAAGGATTACTACTATGTTTTACTACTTCGGGTATTCTTTTTAGGTTATTGTGTCTGTTGGAATTATTGTAAGATGGTTACTTCAGATTGCTGTTTTATTATGCTTGTGTTATCATCATGGTCATTATGGCTGGGTGTGTGGTATTATGGTAAGTCCTAGTCTAGGTAGTGGTGTGGTGGTGTGGTCTCGTACACTCATTAAAATGAAGTAATGCTTGTGGAACGAGAAAACAGCAAAAGTAATAGAAAAGACAAAATACCGCTCAAAGACCGTACACAAAAGTTGGATCGACACGCCAAGTGCAAATGTAGCATCAATGAATGAACTGGAAGTGGGAATTTTTGGTACATCATGTTGTGTTCGTCAAGTCATATCCGTCATGAGGGTCTTAATCAGTACACAAAACGGTCCGCGGGGGAACTAATTCGCTCAGCTTGCCATCTCCTCGAGGGCATCAGCGTCCGCGGCGACATAACTCTGGCTCGGGTAGTGTTCGACTGGGGCGTATCTGTAGAGCTGGGAATTTTGGAATTGGTGCCAACAGCTTATGGCCATGTCAGTAAATGTTGCGGTTTTGAGAATGTGAGGTTTCAGAAACATACCTTGGGGCCTGGAGCACGTAGCGCGCCATCGCCTCCCTAAATCGACTCTTGTACTCCTTCGGACTGGTGACGGTAGGTCTGTTCTTTCCACCACCAGCGAATCCACGATCTTTAATCCAAGATTCTAGTTTCTTATCCCAGGTGTACGTGCGGATGCAATCGATCACGCCAACCACGAGCTCTGAACGACTCTCGTCGATAGCGATCATAAGTGAGTAATCCATCACGTTTTGGCGCCCTAGGAATAGAGTATCATTCCAGACGCTCTGGCTCAGAAGCTTCTTTGAGTGCTCCCGCGCAAATAACGGTGTTTCGTAGATGAAGTCCACCATGTTCTCATCTAGCAAAACCTCGTTGCGTTCTCCCGTACTCTGGACTTTGCGATTCCGCATGGAGCCCTTCAAATCGAAAATCCGAGTAGGAACACGATCGTAGAACAAGTTCTCCATCAACAGGAGGAACCAGTTAAACTCTGTCCCGGTAGCGGGGTTCTTGATGATCACTTGGTAGAAACCAAACATCTTCGCAATTGCAGACGGCAGCTCATGGAACAATGCCTCGGACATAATCTGGAAATACGCTGGGGCGAATTTCAGGAATGCCTGTGTTTCAATGGGCGACAGCGATTTGAGAATGAAGCGATCGTCGAGAGTCTTCAAGAATAGGGATTTGGTCTTTCCTCCCTTGGAGTCCCATTTGGCACATCGAGAGAGCGATTCTACAATCCGCTCTGCGACTCCACATTTCTTCCGTAAGGCATCAAACTGCTCCGCATAAAACACCTTGCACAGCATTTTCGCTTGACCTTCCTGGAATTGATACTTCAGATGTGTACCTGTCGACCTCAAGAGTGCATGTTCAACCCGGGTCTCGTCCAAAGCATCGTTGCCATCCTCTTCATACGTGCCCTTCTCGTCAGGCTCTTCGTAGCGCCTTTGGATGGCTTCTAATTTCTCCTTGTAGTCGCTGGAGTCCAGCGCGAACGCGATCAGGGAGCTTGGTTCGTCCTCCCGCACGATTATGTCGCAATCCGCAAAAACGTGATCGGACATGGTAAGCGGATAATCTAGAGGTGCCCAACCGCTGGCAGAACGCTCTGACCAGAAGTTGGTCAGCAGCTTCAATAGCGTACTCCTCTCATGCTTGGGGAACTCTTTCAGGTCCATCGACTCGTCTTCAGGCGACATTTTCAACTCATCATTCGAGTCTAGTCTTTGCAGGTCGTCTCGGTCTTCATCACTGTGTTCCTCACCTTCGACCTCAGATAAGACATGTTCGTCCTCCGGGCTAGCGCCCCCCTTTTCTTCTTTAGCTGCAGAAGGTTCCTGTGAAATATCCTCCTGCCTGCTCTCTTCCTCGGAATCCCGCCTCAGCATATCTTCGCTGTTTCTGCCTGACTGGTCCGGCGGAACGCGTGACGCTGGGGGTATGAAATCTTCCCCTTCGCCAGAGGGCTCCCGTTCTTCAACTGCTTCCCTGACATTCTTGTATACCTCGACGATTGGTTTCGAGGAAGCTATTGGGATTGCGCGAGAATGAGTACCTTTGGCAGCTCGTCGCGCTCTTTCTCGTTGCCGTTCCTTTTCAAACTCACGGCTCAACTGTTCGAAGTGTTTAGCCAGGTTCGAGACTCGGGTATTCTTTCGAGTCGGAATAGAACGCGGTATGAGAGATGAACCTGGTGTCATTCTTCCACTTCGGAGGGCCAGATTGAAACGTTCCGAGAGCTTCTTGTTGTCCGAAGACCTTGACCTGGAGTCCAGCGGAGGACTTGGAGCTCCATCAGACGGTGTCAATCTGCCAAAGGCGATTTTCATGCCCTTTATTGGGGTTGTATCATTTCCGAGGTCCCTGTGGAAAGGAGCAGGTTGCGTTTGAGCCCGAAATAATGGTGGAGATGTAGACTTTCCACTGCGTCGCAAAGTAGCTTCGGCAAGTCGGGGAATAGCAGATGGGAAACGACTTGGAGTTGCAGTTCTTTCAGTCTCATCGCTTTTCTTTCTCTGACGAACACTTGGCTCCTCAGGAGGGGTTTCCGCCGGGTTCACATCAGAATCAGTAGGGGTAGCCTTTGGCTCTGATGGCTCCAGTGGCTCCGAGGGCTCCCGGGGCTCCTGACTGTCTATTGCCTTCGTGGTGGGCGGGGCTAGGACCGGATGCTCAGAGTGATTCAAAGGTGTTGCGAGATCCAGATGCTGCACCTCTTTTTCGGCCGCAATCTCAGCCTGCGGGGGTGAAAACTGCGAGCTCCCTGAACTGGAAGAGAGAGTTGCAGAGCCGACATCATCGGACTTGATGGCATCACTCTCCTGGCTTCCTGCAACATCTTTCTCCCCCGAATGCTCTTCGACAACAGATACTAGGACATCCTGGGCCTTCTCCGGAGAAAGGGTCATACGGCGCGTTAGTCGCATCCGTTCCGGCATTTCGATGATTTCATTGTCGGCCTCATTTGGTGTGGTAGGAGGCTCTTCGGGGATCACCGACACATCCTTGTCCAGGAAGATTTTCTTCAGCTGCAGAGTAGCCAATCGTTTGATATCTTTTTCCGAGGGGAAGAAATTCTTCTCAAATTCAGCGAAGGCAGCATCCCATTCGACGACTTTCTCCTGAACGGAGCGGAGCACTTCATTGAGAGGGATTACTTCCCAGTATCGCGAGTTGGTGTACTTTTCCTGTAGCTGTTTGATCAAGAGGATGTGGTCCTCGTTGGCCTTCTTACTCAGATGCTCTATCTGTGTTTTGCAATCTTCGGCTTGCTTAGGGATAACACTCTCAACACTGATCCCCTTCAGCCGCGCCTTGACTGAAACCATGAACCGGGTGATGCGATGCTCCATTCGCTGATACACCTCGTTTCTGAGTTTCAAGTCATTGTCCACTTTCCATGTAACCCGAGTTCTAGGAACAATTATCTCAAGCAAGTTGATGCTGTCGTAGTGGATTCGTATAGCAACGTCTTTGAAGCCAAAAAAGCGAAGGTGGTCACGCTGCAAGTCATGAGGGCAAACGCCCGCTCGAGCATGGAGGTTCTTGCTCCAGAAGGAGAGTTCCAAATACTTCCCAAATGAGTATTTCCAAGTACTTTCCGACATCGGAAAGACCTGAGTCTCATTACCACAGATCTTGCAACAACTCCACATCAAGATTGTGTCTTGGAAACCTCGCAGTTTCGAAGGGTAGGGCT